TATATTTGTCAAATCTGTGATTCCATTCTTGGAAACATTTTTCAAACTCATCTGTTTGGATGGCTGACAGCACCTCCCTCATTTTTTTCTTCACCTCTTCTATGTGGTCAAATTGCTGTCCTTTTGTGTCCCCCCTCACTCATGGAAATAAAAAAAAGTAGCACTGAGCAAGGTCAGATGAGTCAGGTGCATGGAGCAAGAAAGGCATGCTGTTTTTTGCCAAAAACTGGCGCACTGAGATGGCTGTGTGAGCAGGTGCATTGTTGTGGTGGTAAAACCAGTGCCATCTGCCACAAATCAGGCCTTTTTTGTCACACACTGATAAGCAATCTTTTCAGAACCTCTAAATAGAAAGCTTCATTAAGTCTGACCTAGTGGAATGAACTCCAAATGCACTACAAGTCAACATTTTCATTGTTTGGGAAGTTGATGGATGTCCAGAACGGGGTTTGTCATCAACATTTAACCTTTTTTTTTTTTAACATTTTATTAGGGGCTAACATTTAACCTTTTTTGAAATGAGAAAACAACTCTTTTTTTAAAAAAAATACTTTTACTGGGGGCTCTTACATCTCATCATAATTCATACATTCCTCCAATGTGTCAAGCACATTTGCACATATGCTGCCATCACCATTTTCAAAGCCTTCTCTTCCCACTGGAGCCCTGATATCAGCTCCCCATTTCTTCCCCCTTCCTCCCCCGCCCACTCTCCCTCAGGAACCCTTGATAAGTTATAGATTATTTTTTCCCAAATCTTACATTGTCCTCCATCACCCCTCACCCACTTTTCCATTATCCGTCCCCCTGGGAGGGGTTCTAGGTTGATTCTTGTGATTGATTCCCCCTTTCTCCCCCTACTCTCCCCTAATCCTGCTGGTATCTCTACTCTCTTTGTTGGCCCTGAGGGATTTATCTATCCTGGATTCCCTGTGTTGTGGGCTCTCATCTGTAGCAAAGTGCATGCTGTGGTCTGATCCAATTTTTAAGGTAGAATTGAGGTCATGATAGTGGGGTGAAGGAAACACCAAAGAGCTAAAGGAAAGTTGTGTATTTTATCGGTGCTATACTGCACTCTAACTGGCTCATCTCTTCCTTGTGACCCCTTACAGAGGGGTCCAATTGTCTACAGGTGGGCATTGGGTCTCCATTCCATGCCCTCTAAACCCCCATTCACCTTGGGTATGGCACTTCAGAGGAGAAGGCAGGTTGCTTTGTTCTCCAGGGCAGGCATACCTCATTTTATTGCACTTTGAGAAGAAACGGCATTGTTTCGGTTGTAGTTGTTTTTGAACAAATTGAAGTTTTGTGCACCCTTATTTCCAATAACTTGTGCTCGCTTCCTATCTCTGTGTCACATCTTGCAATTCTCACTGTCGTGTCTTCATTAATATCCTCCATTTTACTTCTCTACTTGATCTCTCTAAACTCTAAAATCCACTGTGATGGCAAGACGGGGACTCAGACAAAATTCATGACTGAAAAGGTTTATTAAGGAAGTTAACAAGTTGGACTGCAAGTAAGAAGTGCTCATGGAGGTTGTTTACCAGGACATGTTACAAATGTTGGCTAACGAATGCCCAAAGGGGCACACCAATCTGCGGTAAGCCTTGACCCGAAGACATTCAGCTCGAGCTCCGTGGGTCAGCAAACCCAGCTCCCTGAATTAAGTGTCCAGAGGCACCCTATTCCAGTAAAGCCTCAGCTCAGAGATAATTCAGCTCCACTTCCGTGGGTTGGCAAGTCCAACTTCTGCAGTTAAGAGCCGAGAGGTATCACAGTCTGAAAACCAGTCTGCTGCCCAGAGCACTCATTTTAACTTGCTCTGTGGGCTGGGAAGCCCATCACCCTGTTCCATGCTCTGGCTCCTGGTTCTGCTGCTGCTTCTCTGGTGGTGTGAATGTCATCTGGATCCAGGCGGTTCTCTGCTCAGGGATCTCGGGTCCAGAGAATGCGCTTCGCTCCTGGTTCTTGCTTCTCATAGGACTCATTTTATATACAGCAGGATGCTAATCCAGGGAATCCTGTTGCAACTAGTCACTGGTAAATCCTCTCAGCATCTTCCTCTATCTCTTACCAGACTCATACAGGGAAAGGTAATTTGGTGGGAGTTAAAGAGATTTGGCTAGATGTATCACATTAAATAATTCACTGGCCTTGTACTCACACTATTTCAAAAATTTGCAATTTCAAAAATTTCAAAAAAAGATACTATTATACACTTAACAGACTACAGACTACATACAGAATTTTGTATGTACTGAGAAGGCAAAAAATTCACGAGACTCGCTGTATTACAATATTTGCTTTGGTGCAGTTGTCTAGAACCGACCTGTCATATCTCCATTGTGCGCCTGTACAATAAAGATGATGTCTTCCTCCAGAGCACAGGTTGGACAGCTTGTAGCCCATTATAAAACAGGGAATTTCCCTAAAAAGGGGATTCCTCGTCTATATCACAAACCCACTGAACATATAACCTCCTCCCTGGGGGATGGACAACAGAAAAGTGGGTGAAGGAAGACGTCAGACAGTGTAAGATATGACAAAATACTAATAATTTAAAAATTATCAAGGGTTTATGAGGGAGGGGGAGGCGGAGAGTGAGGGGAAAAAATGAGGAGCTGATACCAAGGACTCAAGTAGAAAGCATATGTTTTGAGAATGATAATGGCAACAAATGTACAAATGTGCTTGACATTGTATGGGTTGTCAGAAGAGTTGTACGAGCCCCCAGTAAAATGACTTTTTTTTTTAAAAAACCCACTGAAGATGCTACTCTCTGTCTTCTTCATGGGACTAGGTGGCCAGGAAAACTTATGCAAACATGAAGCTTATCTGCTTACCTAAGGTCTTTTCCCTCTAACCTGGGAGCCTCGGATCTACTAAACTAGAGAGCTAATTTGCTGGCAGGATAAACTCATGGACCCTTCACAGTTCTGGGCACTTTCTTTCCAATTTATGCCTTAATATATAACCCTTTAAGTACCTATCTGAATCAGTCTGCGCCTCTGTCAACACTGCCAAGCTTACCATGTAGGTCAAAGAGCACACGCTAATCCTAGCTTCTGTACCACTCTGCATGTTAAATCAATATTAACTCAGAGAATAGTATTACCTACGATTGAAAAATAATTGTCCTTCAGAGATAGGTTTATTGTTTGGAGCAATTTTTTAAAGAACCTGTTTTCTTCCACTTCAATCAAATCTCAAACCATATGAAAACTGATTGTGGTGCTGACTGTACAACACTTCTTGATTTGATTTAACTATTGAATTATATGATATGTGGATGAATTACCAATAAAACTGTTTCAAAAGAAAAAAACTCAAAACTCAAATCAAACTCACTGAGTTGATTCCAACTCACAGTGTCCCTATAAGGACAGGGTACAACTGTCCCCGTGGGGTCACGGAGATTGTCACTCTTTACAGGAGTAGAAAGCCTCGTCACTCTCTAGCGCAGGGGTGTCAAACTCAATTAAAACGCAGGCCACTTGGTGCAATAGGCAAGATGACCACATCACATTAAAAAATTTTGTTAAATTTATATTTTGAAGTGAGGATTCAGGAATATGGGTAAGATAATTAAAACACTATATAATTGCTTTTATTTAAACATTTATTTTATTTAATGTATTTATAAAACTAAAATTATTCTTTTTTACCCGAAACTTGCCAGTACTTTCCTCCTACTAGTTTTCACTTACCGCTTATGTTGAAACCAGAAAATATAACAAAGTAACTAATAGAAAACAAAATGTTGGACAGCTGACAAACGTGATGCACAATCATAATGGCTTCTCTCTAAAAATGTGAACTAGCGCTGCCGCTAGGTATGATTCATAACAGTGCAACCCAGAGTGCTCTTTTTAGCCTTTTTGCTATTGGGATCTGTTTACATTACGTGACACTGAGAGTGGCAGACACATCGCTTCCAAATGTCGCCGGAACTGAGTCAGCGTGTTTATACACATCCACAGGCCCCCCGGGAAAGGCACTGGGCCACGTGTATGCTCATCGTCAGTAGTTAAAGGGTTAACGAGGGAATTGTGTGTACGGTATTGCCTCAATCTCCCCCAAGCACTATTTTCTTCATAACAATTTTTTCTATTTTAATTTTATTTCAGAATATCATGGGCTACAAAAAATTACCTCGGGGCCGCACACTGCGCACGGGCCGCCAGTTTGACACCCCTGCTCTAGAGGAGTGGCTGGTGGTTTCGAACTGGTGACCTTGTGGTTAACAGCCCTATGTGTAAACATTACGCCATATTAACATTTTGGAGTGTTTGTCCTTATACCAGCGGCTTCAAAAAGTTCATGGGAAAATTCCATTATCTTTTAGTTCTGTTTTTCTATAAATGAACACTTTAAAGCCCCTTTTTACCATTTTTAAAAGCTGTGACCTAATCTTCAATATGAATTATTCAGCAAAATTGAAATCAATGATTTGTGTATCATTTCAACATAAACACAGAAATATAAACAAGAGAACTAGGTAAGAAATCTCTCTCTGTCCTCACCTTAGCCAAATCATTATCAGGTTCAATATCCAGTACTTTACTCAAATCTTCTACAGCTTCCTGGAGCTTGTTCTGATGTTTATATGTAGTGGCACGGCGCAGAAGAGCTGAAAATTAAGCAAAATAAGAGCTACATTTTGTAAGATGTGGCATTACAGTTACAACTTATTTTGCAATTGAAAGAATATAGCACAGCATAGAAGAGCTGAAAATTAAGCAAAATACGAGCTACATTTTGTAAGATGTGGCATTAAAGCTACAACTTATTTTGCAATTGAAAGAATATAAGTAGCACAGAAACCGTAATGCTGTTGTTGCCAAAGGCTCAGATACACCTGTTTTCACATCATACATATAGGAAGTGATTCTGAAGTTGAGAAGAGAGACTGCACTGGGCAACCACTCCCCCAACAGCACCCCCTCTGACAGCCCCAGCAACTGCCTGGTTCCTACCACCCACGTGTAATCCTCCAGCTGCAATACTGGGAAGTTTTTCACTAAACTGGGGGAGCCCTGGTGGTACAGTGGTTACACACTGGCCTGCTATCTGCAAGCAGGTCAGCAGTTTGAAACTACCAGCAGCTTTGTAGACAAAAGACAAGGGCTTTCTACTCATGTAAAGGCGTTACATTCTCTGAAACTCACAGGGACAGTTCTACCCTGTCATATAACTCCATAGCAGCAAGTTTGGTTTTTTGGCTTGGTTTTCATTAAATAATAGTGGTTTCCTTCTTATAGTCATCACTTGTATGATTTTATTGTTTCACCACTTTATGAAAACTTAGAAAATTATTTACTTAGTTTATTTCTGACTGGCACCTATCTCAAGGAGCCCCGGTGTAATGAGTTACACACGGGCTGCTAACTGCAATTCGAAATCACTAGCCCCTCTTTGGGAGAAAAATTAAGCTTTCTACACCGGTAAAGATTACAGCCCCAGAAACCAAAGGTACAATGACATGTTGTCCTATAAGGTCACCATGAGTTAGCAGAGACTCGATGGCAGTGAGTAGTTTGGGTGTTTAGTATTCACTTTTGTTTTTTAGAACATCGACCTCAGAATACAGGCACATTAGCAAAACCTATGCAGCAATCTCTAGAAGGAAGAGGAGGTTCTTTGCACAAGTAACTGCTCAAGCACCCCAATGGCGAAGTCAGCTAGGTTCAGAAAGTCTGTGTTTTAGTATGGTTTCCATTAGTTTGGGGGCTGGGTTTCCATGTATAATTTTACAATTACCTAATACCAAAAAAGGAATGCCTTTCTAGTTCCATCCATGTCCTTTATCACGTAATAAGCACTGCACATAGTAGGTCATTATTTTAAACAGAATCAGGCTTGGCCATTCTGAAAAGTGAGAACTTACATCTGAAATAGTTTAGTCTGTCATTTAAAAAACTTTATTACAAAGATGACCAATTTTAGTTTCATTTGGAACGAGCCGAAGTCACCTTGTCATATAAATTGAATCAAAACTGTAGCCCTGTGCTTTACGCAGTTATTACTGTTCCAATTTCAGAGAGAGGGTTTTATGAAGAAATTGATATAAAAATTATCTTTTAAAACCTTTATTTTGGATTAATTTTATATTTACAGGAGAGTGCCATACACAGTACAGAGACTTCCCACATGCCACTTCCCCTAATGCAAACATTATAACCACCGGCAGAGTTTAGCATGAATGTAATGTAATACTATGAACTATATCTATTAAGATGTCACCAGTCTTCTAGGAACGGCCTTTCCTGTTCCAGGATTGAACCCAACCCACCACCTTGTGCTTAAAACATACTTTTTTTTTTTTTTAGTTAAAAATAAAGTTTTGAAAGGGAGCTATGTATCTATTCATTTAAGCCAGCATGGGATTTTTTGACGGTTTATGGCCATACTCATTACTCGCTCGCCCTTTCCAGATTTGTTCTGCAGTAGTGAAGACTGGTGCTTAGGAAAGTACTCTAGCAAGGAGGAATCGAAACACAAGGTCATGCTAGTGGCAGAGGAACAAGTGGCACAGTGGCAGGCTGGGGGCTCGGGAGTGTGTCATCCAGTTTTGAGTCGTGGCTCTGCATCTGCTGGCTCTGTGACTGTGAGTGAGTCACTTACTCTCTCTGCACTTCAGTTACTTCCTTTGTGAAGCGAGTGTGCTAATGAAAGTATCCATACCACTATGGGGCGGTTGTGAAAATCAATGGAGTGAATACACGTGTAAATTGCCTGGCAGTTCCTGAATACAGAAGTTCATTATCTGAAACATAAAACCCCACCCAATTTGTAATAAAGAACTGTTAAAAATCAAAAACAAACTCTTGGCAGAGGGTCTGGCACTGAGATGGTGTGGGCCCATTGGGAGAACACAAAAGCCTCCCAAGGCTCCTGAAAAAATCTAGGAGTCCACTCGTGCACTGAGACAGAAACCAGCCAGCACAGCTACGTGCACAAGAGGACTTCGGCGGGGAAAGGAGGGCAGTCATGAGCATGCTGATCAGGGCGGAGGCCCCAGGTTCTCCTCTGAGCCGCTAAGGCTCTTGCCTCCTCCTGCTTGCAAGCACAAAGGGGTACCGTCCATACAGAGAAAAAAAATATTTATTTGAGGTGCACAGATGTTTAAAGAAGTATATCGTGTCTATTATATTTGTGTTATCCCCTCTTGTGATAAGACCAAAAAGGTAGAGAACAGAGTCTGACTTGCAAACTTCAGGCTTGGGCCACTTGAAGTAGAGCAGGCCCTGAGGCGGTGTATGGGTTTTGGTGGAACAATATAGTCAGCTTTGAACACATTTTAATTTAAAATGTATGAGTCAAAAGCATCTACAGAGTCAAATTGCCCCTGTGGGTTCCCGAGACGGTACATCTTTTATGGGAACAGAAAGCCTCATCTTTCTCCCAAGGAGCGGCTGATGAGTTCAATCTGCTGACTTTACGGTGAGCAGCCCACTGTGCAGCCCGCTACTCCACCATGAGTCAGAATCAACTCAAAAGCAGTGGGTGAATGAGTGGATGTATGGGCTGCTAGGTGGAAATGCCCACAAAGAAGATGGTAGGAGGTCCTAGAGCCCTGATATGGATCTTTTATTTTATTATATCAGAGATAATATATACAGTATCAGAAAAATATCTGTTAAAGTAGTGCGTGTGTCTCTTTTAATTAAATGACAAGACTTTGAAATCAAGTTTAAGTTAGTCCTTAAAATATGTATTTTATTCAGTCTTCTGGGACTATTAGTTACATCAATACAAATAATCAGAGGCTTACATCCCAAATAGAACTTAAAGTTGAAAGCAATTTTATGCAGGTGGACTCCCAAGATCAAATTTGAGTTTATCTTAAGAGCTTTTAGTATAGATGTAAAGTCTAAAAAGTAGGAGAAAGAGGAGGCTTTCCACTCCCCTGAAGAGCTACAGTCTTGGAAACTCTGCCATGTAGAGTCGCCAGGCGTCAGACCTGACTCGCTGGTAATGAGTTTTTGAGTTGATGCCTAAAAATGGTCCTTAAGGGATCCTCTACATTTAAAAAATACTCTATGAATATTTTCTTACCCTTTAAGTTTCCAGGTTCTAACTTCAAGACCTGCTCACAATCCTGAAAAGCACTAGTCCAATTCTGTAATTTGATTTCTGCTTGGGCTCGGTTGTTATATGCAGCTACAGTAGGAAGCACTGAAATACTCCTATAAAAGGAACATTTACTGGTACCAAGGAAACTGAAGGTAAACATAAGCATATAAGAAAACTCAGCTAGAGTTGTCAATTAAACAATTATAGCCTGTATCAGGAAAAGTAATAAAATATGATTCTACAAACACACAGAAAAAGACACATTTACATAGATGTTTAAATAGCCAGTGAAAGGATTTCAAGTTGATTCTCGCTTTAGAGACACCGTGAGGATTTGAATATCCATCCGTGATGCTGATTCCTAGCGACCCCATGAGACTGAGCAGAACTGCCCCATATGTCTAGGCTGCAATCCTCCCAGCAGTGGCTCAACAGTCCCTGGAGAAGGACATCATGCTTTGTAAAGTAGAGAAGGAGCAAAAAAGAGGAAAACCCTACAATTGTGGTTATGTTTGAGGCCAATATAGGGCCAAGCAGTTTTTCATTCTGTTGTACACAGGATCGCTATGAGTCAGAATGCAACGGCACCTTACAACAAACACCAACAACACACAAGACACTTATTAAGACATTCTCCCCTGGTGGGGAGCTACCAGAAGACAAAGAGCAGTATCAAAGCTGGTTAGGTCTGATATCAACATGCTGAGGAGGGGAGGTTGTACTTGAATGCATGGCCATCAGACACAAACAACATTGAAGAATAAAATAAAATCAAACCTTCATTCTGAAGGTTGAAGGAAGATTTTACAGAGTATAGTGCTAAGGTAACATCAGTGATTGTATAGACGTGGTTTGTATACCATATTAGTCTACTTTTCATCCACTATAGGAGCTTCAAAAGTACACACAACAAATACTTATGAACTACCCACTAGGAGCCAAGTATTTTGCTAGACCCTGGGGATACCAGGGCATAAAACACAGAGAGAGCTTCAAGTCCATTTGGCATCAAGTCACACAGTCTTAAGTCATATGTCTAGCATGTGCTACAAAGAGGAAGTAAGATGTTACTTAAATTGGGGGATGGGCAAGGTTGAGGTTTAATCTAGTCTGACAGGTCAGGAAAGACATGCCTGAGGAAATGAGGCCAGGGCTGACATCTGAAGTAGAAGTTAGATTTAACTGATAGTGAGAAGCGCATTCCAGACCCAAACCCACATGTCAAAGGCCCTGCCTGCGGCAGGAGGGAGATGGAGAGTAGGACGGATCCAGGCAATCTCATTCCAGAGGCTCACTTCGTAACTTTCATGCTGTATGAAAAGAAGGTCTGGTGCCATAACAGTTAAGCGCTCAACTGCAAACTAAAGTGTCTGGTTTAAACCTGCCAGACGTTCCCCAGGAGAAGGATGCAGCAGTGCGCTCCCATTGAGATCACAGGCTTGGAAACCCATGGGGCACTTCTACTTTGCTCTAGAGAGTCCTTATTAGTTGGAATCAACGTGATGGCAACTTGAACTTTCTGGCAAGGTCCTTTCTGATAGCCCCTACTCCCCCTGAAAAGCAGGAAAGTTGAGGCATCTGTCTAAAGTTGGGTGGGGTGGGAGGCTGGAAGCTTTAGAAAAGTACTGAGCAAACAAGACAAACATAAATGAATTTATGTCAAATCACAAATGCAATTTCTTGAGCGATTATGGGGCAGACCACTGGCTTAGAGCAATTCAATTTAAGCATTATCATTTTTAAAATGACAAGTTTAAGGCGCAACAAACACTCAGCTCACCTAGTATAATACATCACAGCTTCTTCAAAATCCCCTGAGTTGAAAGCTTCATTTCCTTTTTCCTTTTCCCGAGTAGCAAGCAAATCCTTTTCCCTGATGGTTCGACCTAGAAATAAATATGTCTGTTACATGTGAAAATCGGCTTCAGCATATATTGTTTTTAATTTTAAGTTCAAGAATGCTGATTTTGTAAAAGGTTGAACTGACAGCATTTGTGTGGTAGATTCATTGATAACAACAAAGAATAGCAACTGAGGCTGCCTATGTGCCACCAAACAGCTCTTGTGATTGGATTCCCTGATTGGGAGGATTAGGGTCATGGTTTCATGGGGCATCCCAGTTAACTGGCCTAATAACATAGTCACTGCTTCTGTTCTACTTCTAAAATGACACTCGCTTCTCACTTATTAACAAAGCTGGGAACCAAAGGCAGGGTATTATGTGAAAACTGGCATGGCGGGAAGATGGAGCAGGGCAGCATCAGTATTTAACTGCCAAACCACTGGAATCACGGTCCAGCCTAGATGACACAAACCCTAACTGCCACAGCCAGCAGGACTCTCGGCTACACCTCCCCATGTGAGCTGAATGCTCTGCCTTGAATTTAGCCTCTCCAAAGACACTTTTGATGGGGCTTCACACCTACCCCCCAAGGCACTGAATAAGCCTAACATTGCATTAGATAAATCTGCTGCACAAGACCTCTTTAAAGAATTGAAAAGCAAGGGCATCGCTTTGAGAACTACTTCGCCTGACCTAAGCCATGCTATGTTCAGCAGTCTCCTATGCATGTGCAAGTGGGACAAAGAACAAAGGAAGACTGACAAGGAATCCCTGCATTTGACCTGTGGTGTTGACCATTAACAGAACAAATAAATCTGTCTGGGAAGAAGTGCAGCCAGAGTGCTCCTTAGAGGCAAGGCAGGTGAGACTTGCCTCATGTACTTTGGACAGGTCGTCAGGAGAGAGCAGACCCTGGAGAAGGACATTGTGCTTGATAAGATGAAGGGGCAGTGGCTGCCACAACGGGCTCAAACATAACAACAATTGTGAGGATGGCGCCGGACCGGGGTGGTGGGGTGGGAGTGGGGGATTCTGTTGTACAAAGGGGTGCTTCAACTCAATGGCCTACAACACCACCACTCAGAAAGATGCATGAGTGTGAGAATTTGTCTGCAGCTCGCCACTGATTGCAAAGGCATGTCGGGACACATTTTGTTTACAATAAATCCTTGCATGTATGTGCGGATTGGAGCCCTGGTTGTGAGACTTTTTGACTTCCTCTTGTATTTTGGAGTTTTACTAAATTCAATGAAAGTATTGTAACCATCGCCTTCAAAAAATTAAGAATTTAAGAGACAAATTGAGTTTGTTACTGGTGGTGAGCTTCAGGGGAAAATCTACAAACATTTAATAACACCCTGCAGCAGTTACTGAGGATGTCTGCTAGGTCAGTAGCTTTTATTTTAATTCAAACATTTTCAAACTCCTAAGTTGTTCCTGTTCTGTCCCCTGGAACTACCTGCTGTATCTATTCTTGTCTCAATCTTGGATAAATGTGTCTTGTTTATTACAGCATCTTCTTTGTAATCTTCATCAATTTTTGAACATTCCTTTTCCACGTCAAATCTGAAATGAACAAACAATAAAACCCGAAAAAGTATAATACAAGCAAGAAATAGAACATATTGCTTATATTCTTATATTGCTATGGACATATGTCCCAAAGTACCTAGTAGGTTGGTTTCATAAATCACTCATATTTTCTCTCAGAGAACATGCAATCTAGTCAGGATTTAGATTTAATCAGGTCTGTAAAGATTCTATAGAAGAATTCTAACCAAATGGGAGTGGGGGGATGAGGAAAAGAATTTCAAATCCTCAAGGACTCTAGGCTTCTCTTGAGTCATTGAGGTTGGATAAACCACCACAATTATTGCCCCCAAGGTGTTAGGCTTTACATGAAAAGTATCCTTTGAGGCCTTTTTAAAAAGTAATAATAATAATAATAAACAAAACCAAAAAACCCAACAAACTCACTGCCCTCAAATCAATGTCAACTCATAGCCACCCTCCACAACAGAGTAAGTGAACCTGTGAGTGCCCCAGATTGTAACTCTTTACAGGAGTAGAAAGCCCCCACCTTTCTTCCTCAGGGCAGTTAGCAGTTTCAAACTGCTGACCTTGTGGTTAGCAGTTACAGTGTAACCACTATGCCACCGGGGATCCTAAATCAAGTGATAGTGTAGCTTGATTAGAAAAGAATGACTGCCTTGAGTATTGCATTGTTTTAAGAAGGATCTCAAATGGACTTCCATCAAGTCTACTGTAACCCATAGTGACCCTTTAGGACAGAAAAGACCTGACCTGTGGGTTTCTGAGACTGGAAATCTTTACAGAAGGCGAGGGCCACGTCTTTCTCCCTGCAAGTGGCTAGAGGTTTGGAACTGCTGACCTTGTAGTTAGAAGTCCAACCGGCAACTGCTGCATCACTCAAACACTGCCATAGAATTGATGCCGATGCATACCGACCCTATAGGACAGGTAAAACTGTCCCTGTGTGGGGGGGGAGGTCAGACTGCTATCTCGCCCCACCACAGGGATGGGCCTGCTCCCTGAGGTTAAAGACAATGGACAGGCCCGCAGTCATCTCTTTGGTTCCTGTAGGTGGGGTTTACACCCTACTGATAATGGAGACCCAAAGAACAGGTCAAAGTTAAGCTGCCACCTAAATCTAGGATCTGCCCATCTTGCCGCATGTATACCCCCAATCCCTCCTCTTCCTATTGCGTGTATACCCCTAGATCACCCCCTCCCATTACTGTAATACCTATAGCACAACCCTTTCCTGTGACATGTCTTCACCTGTAATTAGGGGGCTGTGGGAAACAGAAGGATTTCTCTCAAGCTGTCTCCCCCAAATATATGCCAGACTTAGTTGCTTGAGAATGACTGTATACTTGGAGGTCATCAGGAGTAGATTAGGGGTCATTCTCCCTAAGAGCAATCAGCCACCAAGCAGACACCACTGTTTATCCCACAACAAGTAGGACCCACTCCCTTCTGATAAGGATAGTAGTTGTCTGTTTCCTTGTAGGAGACACCAGAGAGGTCAAACCCACCCAAAGACGACCAAGGCTAGGTTGCCATCATGAATCTAGGGTCCACCCATCTTGTCACATGTATAACCCTAGACCTTCCCATTCCTATGGGCACACCCCTAGCTCATCCTCTTCCTGTTACGTTTATGCCTATCATAGATCCCCTTCCTACAATGTGTACGCCTATTGTACACAGTCCCTTCCTGTGACATATGTCTTCACCTGTAATTAGGAGGCTTGGACGTCCCCAGAGAGGATAAAAGCTGGGGAAGCAGTAAAGTTTCTCTCTCTCCCTCCACGTGGACCACCAAGCGGGGCTGAGGTGAGCAACACTACGATGAAATGTGTCCGACTCCATTACTTGACTCTATCTTTTAACTCTCATGCTCTCTATGACTTTCCTGTAATTACTTATTATCGCTGTACAATTGCGCCTACTGAACCCGTAATGATTGCGCTAGGAGCTGGTTTCTCCTGTCAGGAGGCTTGCACGTCCCCAGAGAATATAAAAGCTTTGGGAGCATTAAAGATTCTCTCTCTCCCTCCACATGGACCACCAAGCGGGGCTGAGGTGAGCATTATTTCTATATTTCTCTTCTATCTCATGCTCTCTATAACTTTACTATAATATTTACTTATTATCGCTGTACAATTGCACCTACTGAACCGGTAATGGTGTGCTAGGGGCTGGCTTCTCCTGGCACCTATGAGTTTCAGAGACTATAAATCTTAAGAGTAGAAAGCCTCTTCTCTCTTCCTGGCTGGCTGGTGGTTTCCAACAGCTGACCTTGAGGTTAGCAGCCCAAAGTGTAACCACTATGCCATCAAAGCTCCTTACTACACCAGTAGGACTCCTTAAAAACTATGTATACAGGATCAAATTGGCAACAGCAACTGGAAAAGTTAGAAAGGAACATTATGGGGCAATGAAATTTACATTACTGGGGAAAGAACAATTCAGAAAAGAGGGTAAGAGTGGTTATCAAACTTGAAGAACATAATCGTGTCACTGAATTGTACATGGAGAAATTACAGGTATATATTTTGCTGTATAAATCCACAATAAACAACAAAAAATATATTTTTTAAATCAATTATAACTATGCTGTTCAGATATCTGTTATTTCAATTGTGAAAAATCGTCTGGTTTTACATTTTGGATGGGTATAAAAATTGTATTATGGATTTTTGGTAGGTCTTATAAACAAATGGATGCAATAGCATTTTCTACAATGAAAAAATTAAAACATGCTGAGCCTAGGTACTTTTAATAATCTACTAAAATAACAGTATTCTTAAGATATTCAGTGTTATATTTATTTAAGAGGTCAATAAAGTAATTTATGGTAGAAAAGGTCTTTACTTATCCCATTCTGCATAATCCCTTGGAATTTTCTTTTTAGCTGGTTTACTTTTAGAATACTTTTCCTAAAAGAAAGCAAATAATTTATTGTGAGATACATTTTATCTGAGATTAGCAAGTTAATGTAAATGCAATACAAAGCATTTGATTGAGATATAAATATTGAATAGATAATAAAAACAGCTCATAGCCACCCTACATAGGTTTCTAAGACTACAAATCTCTATGGGGGCAGACTGACACATGTTTATTCTGTGGAGCAGCTGGTGGGTTTGAACTGCCAACCTTGTGGTTAGCAACCCAACGCCTAACCGGCAGCGGCACAAATACTCCTTTTCAATGCTATTAAGTATTCAAAATAGGTTTCCATGCCTGTTTTAATGATGAGTAACAAGCTCTGATGCAGAAGGGTGCGAAGGGAAGGTGTGCTGGGTCAGCCAACCATAGACATTATTCTCTCAATAATTAATCTCCAGAGGAAGTCAAATGTCATGTTATAGAAGTACTAAAGATTAAGGAACATTAATTTTACACATCTATCTAAATATTCTGAGAAAGGAAAATGCAGCAGAACATAGAATAACAAAATTAAAAAGGGACAGATTTTTTAAAACAATTACCAGTCCTCACTATGATCAGATTTGTGGTTGCTAATCGATAAGTTACCCTACTAAGGACGATGAACTACATGGAGTATCACACAGCCCTTCCTGCTGTTAGATGCTGTGAAGTTGGTTCAGCCTCAGAGCAGCCCTGTGTCCCACACCCGGGCCGGCACCAGCCACACGGTTGTTGGGTGGGAGCCCCATGCTGCAGCCATGGTGTCAATCCATTTCCTGGACGGTCTTCCTCTCTTTCGATGACCTTCTACTTACTAAGAATGATATCCTTTTCCAGAGGTTGATCTTTCTTGAAAACATGTCCAAAGCATGTGAGATGAAGTCTCACCATCCTCACTGCTAAGGAGCATCGTGGTTTTATACTTCTTCCAAGACGGATGTGTTTGTACTTCTGGTAGTCAATGCTAGTTTCCGTTTCTTCAACGATACAATAATATGATTCTTCGGTCATCCTTATTTATTGTCCAACTTTCACATGCATTTGAGATAACTGAAAATACCATGACTTGGGTTAGGTGTACCTTTGTCTTCAAAGGGGCATCCTTGCTCTTCAGCACTGTAAAGAGGTCTTGTGCAGCCGATTTGCTTAATGCCATATATCATTTGGGAGCCCTTGGGAGGCCTGGTGGCGTAGTGGTTACGAGTTGGGCTGGAACCTGCAGTTGTAAACCACCAGCCACTCTAAAGGAGAAAGAGAGGGCTTTCTACCTTGTTAACAGTTACAGTCTCGGACACCCAGGGGCAGTTTCACCATGTCCTATAGGGTCCCTATGAGTCAGCATCGGCTTGATGGCAGGGAGTTTGGTTTTGGTTTTACACATCATTTGAGGAGTCTTGGTGACATAACGGGTTATGAATTGGACTAATAACCACAGGGTCAGCAGCTGTACCCCATCAGTTGTTCCAAAGAAGAAAGATGAGGCTGTCTGCTCCCATAAAGATTTACTGCCTCAGAAAGTAAAAGGAAATAGAGGAAAGAACTAGGAGGCAAAGGGTATTTATAGAGGTCTAAATACAAGCATGTGCATATGTAAATATATATATATGATGATGGGGGAATTTGCATATATTTATAAGTTTAGTATTAAGGTAGCAAATGGACATCGGGCCTCCACTCAAGTACCCCCTCAATGCAAGAACTCTTTGTTCTATTAAACTGGCATTCCATGATGCTCACCTTCCTGACAGGATCACTGAAGACAAAGTGGGTGCATAAGCAAATGTGGTGAAGAAAGCTGATGGTGCCCCGCTATCAAAAGATAGTGTCTGTGGTCTTAAAGGCTTGAAGATAAACAAGTGGCCATCTAGCTCAGAAGAAGTGAGCTAGAAGATAAACAAATCGCCATCTAGCTAAGAAGTGCACCAGCCTGTGTGATCATGAGATATCCACAGGATCAGATATCGGGCATCAAAGAACAAAAAATCATATCATTATGAATGAGGAGTGCAGAGTGGAGACCCAAAGCCCATCTGTAGGCAACTGGACATCCCCTTACGGAAGGGTCTCGGGGAGGAGACAAGCCAGTTATGGTGCAGTATATAGCACCGATGAAATATACAACTTTCTGGGGAGGGAGGGGGAAAAATGAGCTGATACCAAGGGCTCAAGTAGAAATAAAATGTTTTGAGAATGACGATGGCAACAAATGTACAAATGTGTTTGACACAATGGATGTATGTATGGATTGTGGTAAGAGTTGTACGAGCCCCCAATAGAATGCTTTTTTTAAAAAAAAAATGCAATAAATCGAAGGATAAAAGAAAAAGGAGGGGAGGAGATGAGCCAATCAGGGTGCAGGGTAGCAACGATGAAACATACAACTTTCCTCTAGTTCTTTAATGCTTCCTCTCCCCCACTATCATGACCTCAATTCTACCTTACAAATCTGGCTGGACCAGAGGATGTACATTGGTACAGATGGCAACTGGAAACACAGGGAATCCAGTATAGATGACTCCTTCAGGACCAGTGGTAAGAGGGGAGATGCCTGGAGGGTGAAGGGAATGTGGGGTAGAAAGGGGGAACCAATTACAAGAATCTAAGTATTGCCTCCTCCCTGGGGGATGGACAGCAGAGAAGAGGGCGGAGGGAAACATCGGACAGGTTAACTTATGACAAAACTATAATAATTTATGAACTATGAGGGGTTCAAGAGGGAGGGGTTAGTGGGTAGGGAGGGGGGAAATGAGCAACTGATATTAGGGGCTAGAGTGGGAGGCAAATGTTTTGAGAATGATGAGGGCAACAAATGAGTGCATATGTGCCTGACACAACGGATGTATCTATGGATTGTGATGAGAATTGTACGAGCCCCCAATAAAATAATTTTTAAAAAAAGATTTACTGCCTCAGAAACCCTAAAAGGTACACTACTCTTTTTATTTTCTAATTAATTCATAATTTTATTGGGAGCTCTTATAGATGTCATAACATTCCATAATTCAAATAGCTCTACCATAACTGTACAATTGCCACTACACAATGAATGTACAAATGCGCTTTACACAATTGATGTATGTGTGGATTGTGATAAGAGTTGTATGAGCCCCTAATAAAATGATTAAAAAAACAACTGCCACTACAATCAGTTTCAAAACATTTTCTTCTTGAACTCTTGTCAGTTCCTCTTTTCTCCCTCCCTCACCTTTCCCCCCAGGAACCCTTGTTGTCATTGTTATATATTATTAGTAATATTTTATTGTTATTCTCTTTTTTCACCTTTAATTCTGTGATTCGCTCCCTTTGAGAGGAGTTCTACAGTGACCATTACTTTCAGCTCCCTCTCACCCCTCTTCCCTATCACTGTCTTCCCGTATCCTCAGGGAATCATTGCTCCCCTTGCTGCTTCTGTATGGTCATCCATCCTGGCATTCCTGCATCTAATGATCTTACTTGTACACCTGAATGTATGTAGGTCTAGCAGTATTAATGAGGTGAACATAAGCCTTAATAGTAAGGGGAGGAAATATTTAAAAATCAGAGGACAGTTATGAGTTTCATCAGTGCTATGCCACAGCTTGACTTCCTCATCCCTAGCCCCACCCCTAACCCCATGGCACATCAGTGAGGGCCTGTCCAATTGTCTTGCAGGTGGGCTTTGGATCTCCATTTTCTCCACACTCCTTCACATTCCTTTGATTGCTTTTCAAATTTCTCATACCTATTACCATCAACACCTCATGATCACACAGGCAGGCTGGTGTGTTTCTTCCATGTGGGCTTTGTTGCTTCCTTGCTCAATGGCTGCTTGTTTGACTACAAGCCTTTAAGACCCCCAGACACTATATTTTTTTAATAGCTGAGCACCATCAGCTTTCTTCACCACATTTGCTTATGCTAGGTCACTATTCTTAAGGTTGAAAAACAAAAAAATGTGGAGACCCAAGACATGGACCCCCAGGTATAGGTGATAAAAGTGAGTGTGTATCAATATCTATATGTATGTCTACATCTACCTCTAGATAAATTTTCCCAGGGGAAAAGTCACCACACGATTATATATATATTTTTATTTGTTAATTCTTTTATTTTTAACTTCATTTTAGATGTGTCTCTTATAAAACGTTTTGAGTCACCTTTTTTTAAAAAATCATCTTATTAGGGGCTCATACAACTCTAATCACAATCCATACACACATCAATTGTGCAAAGTGCATTTGCACATTCATTGCTCTCATCATTCTCAAAACATTTTCTCTCCACTTAAACCCCTGGCATTAGGTCCTCATTTTTCCCCTCCCTCCCCGCTCCCCCCTCCCTCATGAGCCCTTGATAGTTTATAAATTGGTATTTTGTCATATCTTGCTCTGTCCGACGTCTCCCTTCGCCCACTTTTCTGTTGTCCGTCCCCCAGGGAGGAGGTCACATATAGTTCCTTATAATCAGTTCCCTCTTTCCTACCCACTCTCCCTCACCACACGATTATAATAGTGGGGGGAAAAAAGATTATAATAGTGAAGAGAAAATAAAATTTATATATAATTTATGCTGTATTATACACAATACAAAATTTATATTATATGTAGTTTAGACATACATAATGTTATAAAAGACATGCTCTCCAGAAGATTAGGACAGGAACTACTTCTATATATTTCCATACTATTTTATAATCTATAACACAACATAGTCTACCTGTATTCGAACTTAAATTGTAAAGCACTTGATTTGTGCAAGGGTGCAGGTTATAGTGGGAGCTCTAACTCCATTTCTCGTCTTGACAGAAGCTCAGACTCTGAATTCTTTCTGACCATTCACCAGTAAAGTGGCAACTTGGCTCTCAGGCAGAACGTGTTTGAAAGTAGAGTACAAATCCAGGCCAGCCCAGGAAGGTCAGTCTTGCCTCTAGGATTACCCTAAGAATCTGGGAACTTGCCTGGGCTGGGCATGTCCTTTAGGATTTAAAGGCCATTGCCAAAAGCTATTGGATCAAGAAGCCATTGTG